CTTGTGGGGAGGGGCAGAGTCACATCTTTACCGAGAGGCTTTGGTATATTAGAGTTACTGTCCACCAGCGATGCTCGTGGCTTAAGGCAGGATCGGGGGCTTAATGGGGCCGGGTGTGGTAGGGCTCCTCCCACCATGAGGGGCGGGGCCGCGGGGCGGGGCCGCGGAGGGAGGAGTGGAGCCCGGAGAAGAAGGGAGAGTCTGGGGGAGCCAGATGAGGAGGGGGTGAGGGGGTGGGAAGAGGCTCCCCACGGGGAGGGGAGAGCAGGGACCAAAGGGCGAATGGGAGGGCCACTGGGAGAGTTAGAGAGAGCCGAGGGGGACAGAGAGGAGAGGCCTCGAGGGCCGGTTACGGGGAAAATCGGGAGAGACCGAAAGAGGCGAGAGGGGCTACGGACTGCAGGGGGCGGAGGCAAGGGTGGGTACCGGGTCTGTAGGGGCAAAGAGAGAGATTGAGGGGAGGACGGGGCGGGGAACAGAAGGGGCAAGAAGGAGAGTTATGTGGGGGGAGAAGATGAGGATGGGGGGCATCCCGCACTCAGGATCGGAGCACCACCATCCGGGAGATCCGGGGGGAATTGGGTGCCTGTGAGTGTGCCCACGGGATCCCGAGTGCTGCCAGCAGCCGCCCCTCCTCCTTCCTGGCCCCTGGCTGATCCCGGACCGCCTTCACCCGGGAGGGGCAAACTCTTTCACCCGCTCCTGCCCGCCTCTGACCCCTCCTCACTGGCCTCCAGGCCCAGCAGGCTGCTCCATCCTGGGGGATGGGGCGCCTTTATCTTCCTCCGATCATTTTCCTTATCTTTTTAGACCGGAAGGACGGGGGCCCTACATGACTTCTCCATTCTGACCAGTACAGTATGTCCCTGGGTAGCGGCCCCCTTTTCCAGCCTTCAAGAGAAAAGGCTGAGCTCACCCAGCCCCTCAGCTCCCCCGCCACCCCCAGCCTTCTCAGCAGCCCCCTAACTCTCCTCCCCATCAGGTTGTATGAGGCAGTTCTCTTCCTCGGGAGCAGTAAAGTGTTTAGGTTGCATAAACTGAGATGTGTCTGCTTCCATAAACACAGTTGTCACAGTATTTGAGGCCCAGCTTGCCTGTTCCACCTCTCCTCCTGCACCCTGCTCATCCAGCCCACCAGGGAGGCTCTGGGTTTTTGGAGGTCTCTGGTCGCCCCTAAAGGACGACTCTCCAGCCTCTTTCTTTTCTCCTGAAAGTTCCCTTCCCAGTTCACACTCTCCCCTGCTGACCTGTCCCGGGGCCCTTAGGATGCCCTGGCTTTCTCTACTCGAGGCTGATTGCTTAACCTGGCCCAGAGCTGGGTGGGTGGCAGGGACTGCGGGAGGCATACCACGTGGGGGCTGTGAAGGAGGACCTTGTAAGCACTGATGGTTGACCCCAGGTTAGAGGGACACTACGAAGGGAGCTAACACAATTCCATCAATAACATTCGTGTGCCAGGCCCTGTGCTGAACGCTTCAGGCATGGGCCACACCTGATCCTCACACCAGGCCATAGAGCAGTGGTTCTCAACCTTGGCTGCACATTAGAATCACCTGGGACTCTTTTTAAAATCCTGATTTCTGGCCAGAACCGGTTTGGCTCAGTGGATAGAGCGTCGGCCTGCGGACTCAAGGGTTCTGGGTTCAATTCTCATGTACCTTGGTTGCGGGCACATCCCCGGTGGGGGCGTGCAGGAGGCAGCTGATCAATGTTTCTCTCTCATTGATGTTTCTGGCTCTCCCTCTCCCTTCCTCTCTGTAAAAAATCAATAAAAATATATTTAAAAAATAAAAATAAATCCTGATTTCTGGGCCTCATCCTCCGGAAATTCTGTTTCTTTGTTACTAATGTTGTGGCCCCATCCCATAACAAAGAAACAGAATTTCCGGAGGATGAGGCCCAGAAATCCGGATTTTAAGAAGATTCCCAGGTGATTCTAATGTGCAGCCAAGGTTGAGAACCACTGCCATAGAGGTAACACCCACCATCCTTCTCATTTGACAGAAGCTCTGGCAAGTTAGGAGATTTGCCCAAAGTCACACAACCAGTAAGTGGCAGAGTCGGGATTCAAACCCGCAGCCTGACTCCACGCTCTTCCCACCTCCACGCCATTAAGTCTCTTCACTGCCCAGAGGCAGGAAGGTGCCCGGTGCAGGTGGAGGGGTGCTCCAAGCAGCTGGTGCTCCCCAGGCTCAGGGAGAGGCGTCCTTAGCTCGAGGCTGTCATCCGGCGGCCGGTGTGACTCTCCGAAGGGCCGCACGCCTGGTGATTCGAGGGACAAGTGCGCGCCATTAGCGTATGATTTGTACACCCCGCAACCCCCTCCCCCCAGTTCGCCGGTTCGCCCGCAAACGGGTCCCTCCTCCGTTTGGCGGCTGGGGCTCGTTGGCCCCCCGCAGCCCTCCCGAACCCGCCTGGGGAACTGCGGTCGAGGAGGGGCGGGAGCGCCCACCGCCCGCGCCCGCCCCCGCGTCCGACGCGCCCCCCGCCGCCCCCCAAACGACGCCTGCTCCCCGGGCGCGCTGTGGCGTCTCTGTCGGCCCAGCCGGATTCTCCCCGCTTCGCTGGAGTGGAAAATAACGGCTTCAAACTTTGCAGAGGAGCTAGTGCCAGCACTTTAATTAACAGCCATCTTGGCCTGGGAGCCTGGGCCACCGGCCCGCGTCTCCCACCGGCTCGCCAGGCCCCGCCCGGCCCCGCCCGCCCGCGTCTTGATGGAGGTGAAGCCCTGCCCCGGCGTCCAGGGCCCCTTTTCTGGAGGAGATGAGGACCTGGCTGATGGGGGCGGGGGCGAGCCTCTCCCAGCTTAATACCTGAGGACCCCAGCACTCGCACCCCCCCCCCCCCCCAATTCTCTGAATCTGGCCTTGAAGATTCAGAAAGCAGAGACCTAGTTCTACATGCCAATCCCAGCTGGTGATTTTAGGCTGGTCGGTTAACCTGCAGAGTCCTCTGGAGAAAGGGGTGTGAGGATAAAATGGGATGTAATGAATGGAAAGCGCTGGACTCGGCATCTGACCCTTGCAATGTACCCAGTCGATGGTGGCTAAGAAAATGATTCCACGTCAAGGCCACGATGGCTCTCCCACCACCTCAGGCCTTGGCTCTCCCGGTCCTGCCTTCTTCTTTCAGCCTGCTGTGCTGGGCACCAGCAGAGGAGGACAGTGGTCTGTGCGTCCAGGTTCAGAGACGGGACTAGGTGAGTGAGGAAGGAACCCCGGAGTTCTGGCTGGCAGGCCTCCTCCTCAGCCACCTGCCAAGACTGGGGTCCAGGTCTGCAGAAAGGGAAGGAGGTGAGCCTGGGGAGGGAGGGCAGCGCTGTCTGTAGCTGGGATGCACCCCTGCTGGGCGCTGAAGGCCCAGCTTTGCTGTCCTTCTTGTGAGTGGCAGCTCCCTCACTCCTCCAGCCCCATCATTCGAGGGGTGGGGACGGCTGTTGGTCCTCTCGGTGGTGTATGGAGGGTGCAAGAAAGCGGGTAAGTTCTGCATTTACGCATGGCTGATTTTAGGAAACTGGGGGGCTGCTCGGTGGCATGTTGGGGTTCTTGGAATGAACGTGAGTGGGTGTGAATGTATTAGAGACTGTGTTTGTGTTGGTGTCGTGGGTCTGGATTTGTGAATGATGAAAGGGGGTGCTGTGCCCTGACTCATCAGCTGGCAAATCGGCATTCATTTGTTCATCCCGTAAACATTTACTGAAAACACCTAGCGAGGCATTGCCAGGTGGTCGTGGTGATGTGTCCAAAAATAAGTTAGACGTGAGCAGTATCCCTGAGGCGCTCACTCTTTGGCAGGGATCACAGGAAGGAAGAAACGATAAAAACTATGATAATTATTGCTGCTAATACTTTCTGAGCACGTACTAAGTGCAAGATATTGTTCTAAAGCACTTTATGTGGATTATCTCATTTAAATGTAGCAACTTATTATTAGCACGGACTTAAAACTATTACATGGCGTATGTCATTTAATATCAATAACCCCACGAGGTAGGTACACTTATTTTCCCAATAGATAGTGAGGAAGCTAAGTCTTGCGTAGAGGTTTGTACCAGGTGTTATGAAGCACAGATGAAAACCTCCCTGCCTGAAGGACTCCAGGAAGACTTTAAGGGGAGGTATCATTTTTCCATCTACCTATCCA